GCCCGACCCAACGACGTCACGTTTCTCGGGCTCATCACGGCCTGCAGCCACTCGGGCCTTGTCGACGAGGGGTGGAACTTTTTCCTATCCATGAAGGACTACGGGCTCGAGCCCAACCAGAAGCACTACGCCTGCGTGGTCGATTTATTGGGCCGGGCCGGTTATTTAGAGAAGGCCCACGATTTCATCGCCAGTATGCCGGTCGAGCCCGGCGTCTCGGTCTGGGGGGCCTTGTTAAGCGCGTGTAGGGTCCACCGCGACGTGTCGCTTGCTGAATATGCGGCGGGGAAGCTTTTCTCGTTGGATCCACTCAATACGGGCCATTACGTGCAGCTGTCCAATCTGTACGCTTCGAACCGAATGTGGTGTGGCGTTAAACGGGTCAGATTGTTGATGAAGTCTAAAGGGCTGAGTAAAGACTCGGGACACAGCGCAGTGGAGATAAACGGGAAGTTTGAAGTTTTCCGAATGGGTGATAAGTCTCATCCAAGATCGGTCGAGATATATAAGAAGCTCGAGTGGTTGGAAATGAGGCTTTTGGAAAACGGATTCGTCCCGGATAAGGAATCGGGCTTGCATGATTTGGATGGAGAAGATAGAGAGGCGATTCTGTGTAGTCACAGTGAGAGGCTGGCGATTGCGTACGGGCTTATATGTACGAGCCCCGGGACTACACTAAGGATAAATAAGAATCTACGGGCCTGCGTGAACTGCCACCTGGCGACGAAATTGATAACGAAGTTGGTCGGGAGAGAGATAGTCGTGAGGGATGCGAATCGGTTTCATCACTTTAAGGAGGGAAGTTGTTCGTGTGGTGATTATTGGTGAAAGTGAAACAAACTTCTGTTTTGTTTTTGTGTTTTTGGGCACCTGTTGAAAGGTTTTTGTCTTGGTTTCAGCTTGAATTTATGATCTAAGTTTCGAAGTAGATTTGAGATTCAGTTAAAAATTCACAAAGATAAGTAGCATATATCCCTCCACAGAACAAAGTTTATCTTCAAAATAGATGAAAATGGACTTAAAAGAGTGCTTGGACACTAATCTGAGTTGAAACTTTTCCTCAACATTTTATTCATTTGTCAAGTTTTGGTTTTTGTTTGATTTATAGATTGCAAGCCTTTATTCATATGTTTTTTCAGATGAATTTTAGAGTGCTAGCACTCATGTTAGTGGCTTGTACTGATTTGTACTAAAAAGAATTCAAACATTATTATTATTATATTATTCATTTTCCCTTTGAGATTGTGATTTGATTCATAAAATTTCTTGCTCGAAAAATAAACAAAATGAAGACAAACAATGTCCGAAGGTAAACAAACACAAGCTCAAAATGCCAAATTCCGCTCATTCGATTCAATTACGACACGAACAATATTTGAACGTAAACAAACACAAGCTCAAAATGCCGAATTCAGCTCATTCGATTAAATTACGACACTACCCCTATAGTACAAGAAGAAAGGATAAAACAAGCCAGATAACTGTCTCTGCATCTGAGTGGACTCCTAACCAGTGGAGGTGGCATTAGGAACGTGTAAAGCCAATCCCGTTCAACCCGTCTTGAATTAGTTCATACTTATACATGCATAACTAAATGTAAGTATGAACTAATTCAAGACGAGTCGAATGGGAAAATGCAATCGCCAAGGCAAGAAGTCCCATCCTGGAATCCACAATCTCCAATCGGGGCAACAACATTCGATGAGTATATATATCAACTACCCAAGGAACTATTTTTCTCAGAATCTCAACCCAAAGCTACGTGCTGGAATACACAATCAGGGCAAAACGACATTCCACAAGTATATAAACTACCCAAGAAACTCTTTTTTCTTTTAAACTCAAGCTCAGAAAATAACAAACACAACGTGATGTTTGTAAGCAGAGTTGGATTCTTGAAATGTAGCAGGAGACAGGTAGCATGATGCCGAAACAGAAAAAACAGAGACATCACACTGTTCAAAACTGACCATTTCAATCTATGCTTCGGAAACTTGAACATGTCTCACCATATTCAAGAGAGAAGGTTCACCATTATGAAGCAACACTTACAAAGTATCTCCTCACAAACACCCACATGAAAACACAAATCTAAAGTTATCTTCTTTCTAAAAAAAAGTTCAGTTTTGATCATAAATTTAGGAAAATGCTATATGGTCCCGTTACGGAACCATTCCGTCAGGGTTTGTAACCGTGAAATCCCGACGGAATGGTTCCGTAACGGGACCGTAGCATCTCCCCATAATTTATCATAAATTTGCAAGAAAATGCAAGACGATATAGAAAGCAACAAACCAGATTTTTCACGAGGAATCAAGAAAATTGAGCTTCAGTGTGTGTAACAATCAGATCATTGATCACAACAATTGGTTATAATCTCACTGAAATCCGCTAAGATAATACATTTCTTCATCACAAGCCCAGAACAAAAAGATGGTAGAAAATTAAGGAAAGCAGCTAAAAAGATCCCATTTTTATTTTCAAAAACATTGAAAATTTTAAGAATAAGGGGGAGTGTGTGCTCAGACAGCCAAGGGTTAGTCTTCAAATGCAAGATCAGAAACTCTAGTCCACATTAATTGCATCATCACAGCACACAAATTAACATCAAATCTAAAACAAAAACACAAAGAACATAAAAAAACAACACCCAATTGAAAAATCCCCCAAAACATAAAACCACAAAGAGTACTAAATTCCTTGTTCTTTGTGGCGGCGCTCGGCGGCGCAGATGTGTAAACAAGCGGAAGAAGAGCGCCGGAACGAAGACACTGAGGATTTGCGAACAAATGTCTGTATTTAAAGTGAATTTTGCGCGGCTGAGATTAGGGTTTACTAGGGTTTTATGCTGTGATTTTTCTTTTGTAAAATACACAATTGGTCCTCCGAATGTGTGTGGGCTCAAATTAATGGCCCTGATAAAATGGGCCTGTTTAGTTATCTAGATGGGCTACTATAATGTATGAAATTCGACCTGGCCCATGTATAGACTTGGACTTGACTAGTGAATGATATGTGGACAGTGGATCAAATGGTTTTAACACAAAATACATACTTTCCCACTTGATATATTAAATATAAAAAAAGGCATTGCTTAAAAAATCCCGACCTTTTACTAAATTACAAATAAATCTCAAACATATTTAAGTTTGTCATTAAATTCTCAACCTTTTAATTGTGTTGCATATTAAACTCCGATTGGCCTTCCTACCTCCTCTTGTTGATGTGTTAAGCGAAGTGATGATATGTCCCAGCAACAAACGACGTGACTTTTTATGTCTTAAAACATCACATATTCATTTTCACTTCATAATTTCTTCCTTTCTTATACACTCCTCAATTCCTAAATTTTTTCCCTCTGCAACCCTAATTCGAGATTTTTCATCCCAAATTTGAGGAGTTAGAAAAATTGAGATCCAATATCAACAGAAGAAGCAACGAGAACAACGAACATTTTACAAATCTCAATTTAGGGTCGCAGAGGAAAAAAAGTTTGGGAATTTGGGAGTGTGGAAGAAGTGAAGAAATTATGAAGTGAAAATGAATATATGTATGTTTTAAGACAAAAAAAAAAAAAAAAAAAAATCACGTCGGACAATTCGCCGGACACATCAGCAAAGAGGATGTTGGAAAACCAATCGGAGCATAACATGCAACATAATTAAACCTTAAAAGGTTGGGAATTTAATAGCAAACTTAAAAAAAATTGAGTTTTATTTGCAATTTAGTAAAAGATTAGGGTTTTTGAAACAAGTATGCCTTACAAAAATACATTCTTGTGAAATATTTATGTGTTTGTTAAAAAATTTATTCTTAAATTTTCATTATATGTCATTATATATTTTAGAATGACATTTGATATTTGTGCGACTTAAATGTGTTTTATTATAATAATTTTTCTCATTTATACCATATAACTATTTTGAACACAAATATATTAATTGATAAATAATTTTATTTTCTAGTTAATACTAAAAAATATTTTTATTATTATTATAAAGATAAATATAATTTATATATTTTATACATATAATAAGAATGCCAAATCAAAGTTTATCAAACGACGATTAATTTGATATAATATATATGTAAAGCTGATAAAAAATACAGAAATTACTAAATATTAAAATACATTTACAATTCAATGGTTATAATAAAAATGATATCAAAATGCAACTAATACATCTAAAATGGTCATAAATAATCAATATGTTTATAGATAATTCGGATTTAATTATTTTTGGACTAGAAGTAAATTAAAATATATTCAAACCAAATAATGAATTATTGAATTTTGCGATCACGAAGCATGCGAGTCTATTTCATAGACTCAACACATTCAGTAATTATATGTAAGAGGATTAGTTATGTTATTTTATATTGTATGGGATTTTATTTTCAAAATATGCATAATTGTGGAACTATTAAGTTGTCTATCATAACATCAATAAAATTTA